ATATTTCAGACTCGTGTGTGTGGTGTGTGTATGAAAGTGAGTGAGTGAGTGAGTGAGTGAGTGTGTGAGTAGGATACGTGGTTTTGGATACCTGTTTGAAGAAGTTAGTGATAGTAAGTGTTGCAGGTCTAAAACCTGTTAGACTGCATGACTCATCTCCACTGGTGGTCCTCTCCAGGGAACGTCTTCCCATGATGCTTGAGTTCCTACGTTCTGACCATGATCCTTTTCTCTCTACACACAGGCAAAAAAACAACACCTTTTTCTTTCAGGGGACGCTACAAGAGGCTAAAGATTAATCCTATATTTCTGTCCCATGTGACACAGAATATATATTTCTCTGCCCTGCCTAGCAACTAAAAGGCAGCCACCACAATTAGCATCAAAGATACCTTGTAAAGATTAGACAAACACCAAAGGGTTTTGGATCTTTTGACATGCCCATGAGCCTTGTGTGTGACTGTACAGTCTCTGTCCCCTGATAACTATATGTGACATTGAGGCTGTGAGTCGGTAGAAGTATAAAAACATTAAACAACGTTTTTTGTGCCTCCATACTGTGACCGTTAACTTCATAGTGAGATTCATCCTGTATGTTTACAGCTACAATCTAAAAGGTTGCGTTAAAAGGGAATGTCAGACCTGAGAGGCTCATCTCCAGCTCCGTATCTCTCTCAAGACTACCAGCACTGTTCACAATGTTCATCAGGTGGATTGCAGTCCAGGCGAAGGGCATGCGGTAGCGGCCAAGACGCTGGCAGAACTGCTCTGACTGCCCGCGAAGCTTCTCCAGCTTCTCTTTATTCTACAACAAAAATACACGTTTACTTGTGTGGCTAACATAATGGATAAAAGAGAACATATTTATTAACTTGGAATGTGATCTTTTATTATTATTATAATAATACACCAGCAATGAGCCTCAAAGCTTTTTATACTGATACTTTTATATATTACTGATAATACCTTGGCAGCATCTGACTCTTTAAAGACCATATAGGGCTCAGCACACTCTCCAATATCACCTTGCTGCAGTACCTTTTCCAGCTGGGGACAAAGCAGACACACTTACAGTCAACCACCCTCACACACAGCAATAAAGTAATCATACAAGACACAGACTGATCTGTCAGACAATCATATTTAAATTACAATATTGGTCCACATATAAGACAAAAATGTAGAAGTCATAATGAATTAGAAAACTACACACAACATTAGATATTCTTTTTGAATAACACTGGCTCATCCAGAGAGTATTTCATTATGTATCTTTCAGGGTCAAACCTACAGGAGCATGGCTTTATTGCAGAAACAGACTGAGGATTAAATCATCTTTTACTGTCAATTTTACAAAAAAAAGGCTCCTTGGACTAATAGTAAAAAGAAGTGAGTCCTCTTATCATCATCGTCTTACATTTGGCATTTATTACTCATTTATTTGCAAAACAAGACTTGACAAGACAGAGGAAATGATATCATAACTGTTTGACCTTGATGACAAGGAAGACATCCTGGGAGGGGTAGGTGATGGAGAATATGGCAGAGCGTGCCAGCGTGGAGATGGCTGCTGTCTGAATGTGCGGACGCAGCATCGCCTTCGTCTGCTCAGAGTTTAGGTCGAAGAAAAAGTTCTCTGATATCTGAAGGACACATCCAGACAGACACACAGGAAATTAAAACATGAATGTAACATAAATTTTAAATGTAGTGCTATGGCCACATTATGACAACCATTAGTATTTATTTCATCATTCTTGAGTGAGAGGCTGTGTTCCTGCAATCCGATTTCCAGCTCACGTGGCTGACATTCATGATAACATTTCACTGACAAATGACGCACTTGTGAAATAAAGGAGCTCCTGTGCAGAGCAATATATATCAGAGATCTCCTTATTAAGGCAACTGCTACCCTCTAGTGTTTGTCAGTGAAAGGGGAGTGTAAAGAACCAGCAGTGGATGATCTTCTTCAGATAGATACATAGTCCCAGTGTATGATTTAACTGCATTCCTACAAGCATAACAGGGCCACAACATAACATTTTATCGTCCACTCATCAGATTAATTTGAGGTTTCCAACACTTTTAATGGTTTGCAGAAGTGAACCAACAACTCAGGGCTGAGGAAGCACTGAAGAAAGCATAACAGCTTACCTTTTTCTTTTCCTTGACATCGTATAAGGCCAAACTAGCAAATATGGGTTCAATTTCGATCTCGAACCTTCAAGGGGAAAGAAAAAGGAGTGGGTCAGCAGAAAGCAGCAGTTAAATAAAAGCAATAAAAGGCTTTTTTCTGAAAAAGGCTGTCTACCACTTACTTCAAGGACAAGCACTTGACAAGTAGCCTCTGACCAAAGTGTTCTTTAGGTACTTCAGGCACACAGTGGCGCTCAATGGGTTCCTCCTACATATTCACATAGAAGATCACATACAAAAATCTGTAAAAATTATCAAAGTGACTTTGAATTTCTGTATGTCCCTGCTATGATGAAAAACATGTAAATGTATTAATTACAAAGAAAATGACTGACCTCCTGAGACTGGTTTCAAACACAACGAGTGAGCTTACTTACTGAGTAACCCACTAAAATTGCACATAGACAAAATTTACATTGTAAATGTAATGGTGTCTAGCAGAAAAAGTTAAACTCTACCTCATCAAGGGCGGGGTGCAGAGCAAAGACTTCACGGTGGCGGTTGGCCTTGCGCTGCTCTTCATTGTGCCTGTCTATCTCCTCATTGGGGGCACGGTCAAGGAGGTGAGGGAGGAGGGCATCAGGGAGGGAGTTCTTCAAGTCAAAAATGCTGCAAGCCCAGCTGCCACGTGGGGTGTCATCTATAGACATGGAGCGCCGCTTCAGGTCATCCTACAGGACAAACAACACAAAAAAATGAGTGTTACAGGCAGATCAACTCACATGTAAAGCAATTCTTGCATCAAAATATATATGTTCATCTAAATATCTTAATATCACCAATGTGAAATATTTTTTAGGATATCAAAAAAGAAGACAAATTAATTTTTTTGGTTTAGTACCTGATCATCCTGGTAGGTGCTGCTGTCTGGCAACTCATCTGCCTCAAACACTTGTTTGGGCAGGCCTCTCTGACGCTCCTTCTGCTTGTCCAGAGTGTTGGGGTTAAAGCCCGTACCAAGCTTGTGGTATCTGAAGGACCAAGCAGCCATTTAGGACTCTGCCATCATTAACTTAATGTTAATGCTCAACATAGTCACAATATTTTACAGATAACAAGTGAAGCCAAGAGATGAAAAACATAAAAAATTCCACACAGTGAAGCCTTACTTTCTGTTGACGATAGCCCAGTCCTCTGTGTAGGATCTGACACAGTCTCTGACATGAGGATCAGTGTCCCTGGAGCCAGACATACTCAATCAATCAAACAAGCTTTATTTTAATAGCAAGAGTCAGAATTTAAATGCACTAGTCTAAGTGAATAAAGATGACAGGCTAGTAGACTGATGTCATTTAATCTTTCTATTATGTCACACAGTGAAGTACACTTACAGTGCTTGTGTCTCCTCTACTGAAATACTGAGCACCAGAGCTACAGTAAGTAATGACAAAGTCCACAGATATTTCATCTTCAAACATGTGGCGCAGTGTAGAGACTAATCTGCACTACTTCAGAAACCTGTGGTTAATGTCATGTTTTGTACAGTCTATGGTAAATCCCTATAAACTCGGGTTTTGGCCTCTATAGCCAATTTCCCCATTCATGATAATTGCACAGTGGGGGGAATCTTAATATAACTCACCCGTTTAAATTATATTGAGTCCTAAACTCAATAAAGAGGGGCGTGTTTGCTTTGAATGACAGGTGGGTCCTAGCCTAGCCACACCCTTAGGTAGAAACCCTCACTCCTCCCCAGCTCCACCCTATTGTCTAAATATCGTCAATTCTGGCTCCAAATAACCAAGATCGCAATGGACAAAACGGCAAACTCGATGCTTTAAAATGGTAGTCCATAAACCAATGGGCAACATCAAGGTGGCTACGTTCACTTCTTTTATCCAGTCTGTGGTTAGTACGGCCTTATGGCCATGTGTTATACAATTTGAAAAGGGTGACTTGGCAAGAGACAATGTTTTGCCTTTGAGTACATGATAATAGAGCTGGAAAATGGACTTATCTAAAATTAAAAATCAGCGCTCCAATTAAGAAAAAGACCACCAATTTCATTAATTCCACTTTTGGATTCAGGTATTTATGAGAATATTTTATTCAATTCATCTATTTATTGTATGTTTATTTAGATGTTATAAATTCAGTTTATTTCAATGTAACCATGTTGAAAAAAACAATACATTTTGTGATTTAATAATAGAATTTGAAGATCTATTCAAAAAAACTTCTTTAATCCCTCTTTTGTCCAGTTAATATGAATAATTCACTTTAGAAACTTGCTAGGTTCTCTGGGTCCTTTAAAAATACTCAAAATGCTCTTATGAGAAAAATGTATGTTGTGAGACTGTACTTATCTCCACACCTGCTACTACCACCTACAGTATTTCAACCGCACAGCACCCTTACCCTTCCTCAGGGACGGCTTGTGCCACTGTGCGACACTCCCTGGGTGTGTGGATGACCTCAATATCATCTGGGGGAAACTCAATCAGATCTCTCAGGGGACCTGACTCAACAATGGGAGGGTGAGTGATGAGGTACTCCTCAAAATCCACTGGCTCCACTGCCTCTGTGAGGGGAACCTGGTGGGCGATGAGAGAAAGAGGTGATTTAATTTGCGGTGAAGACATAGTCAGCTATTCAGATCTCCTGTTTCTTTTTATTGAACGTGAATGTCTTAGTAAAGTCTTAAAATCTCTAGATTTAGTAAATACTTTATGGGATTGATTCCCCATACAACCTCTAAGGAAAGTAGCAGAGTTATGCGTTAATAGTCATTCTATGAATCTTCAACATTTACAGCACCTACAGGTTACTTCTGTTGAAAGAGCAATTCTAGCTTATGGATCATCTTCAATTCCAAACAGGAAAATTGGTTCTAAGTAAGATGTATCTGTGATTTGGACAAATGCTTTAAAATGCCCTCAAGCTGATACAGCAAGCAGATTAGCACACTACTCAGTTTTTGTTTAAAAACTAGTTTTAAAACGAGTACAATCTCCGACCACACCAGCGTTTTAGCTGCGTATTTGAGTTGATCTCCGTCTACATTAAAACGACTGAAAACGCCCGTGTAGTGGCCGTTCACTTACACAGGGCATGCGCGTGCCAGTGTAAACATGAAGCAGATGGTCTATTCCGTAGTTACAGAAGATTTGGTGAAAGAATAAAGAAATACAGATGAAGAATCACACCAGATTTTTTTTGCATGGACCAATAACAAGCTCGAACTGTTACTGAATGTAACACGGGAGTTAAAAGCAACTGTGGCGCCGGAAAACACACTGGAAGACGTCACAAAGTTAATACGGCGACATGCACAGTAACTTATAAGTGCAGGCCTAAGCTATAAATGTTATTTGCACAGTACAAGACATTTTAAAAAACTAAATCAAAAACTCTGTCAGTAGCATTGTGTTTCTGCTCTGCATGACTTATAAGACCCAATCAGAGAGCCAAACGTGAGTGTCTACATCATCATTTCTAAAACACACACTAAAACACTACCTGGAGTTTTAAAAACGAAAAACGGGGTCGGCAGCGTTTCTCCGCAAAAGTCTCCATTTTAAAACAAAAACGCAGCAGTGTGGATGGGGCCTTAGTCTGCTTCTAAAATGTTGAACCCAGGGGAATCTTTGTTTCAGTAAGTTCACGTTTAAATGTGAATGTGGGTGTGTGTTTGTCTCTCTCTCTTTCCCTCTCTCTCCCTCCCTCTTGAGGAATTTGAACACAAATACCTTTCACAGTTTAATTAAAAGCCAACTGTAGCCTAATTAAGGAGCAGAGGGGGAGTATTTTCTGGTGTTCTGGCTCAGGGCTGCTGAAGGTCAATTCATAGTTTTCACGTGACGTCACATTCCAAGGATAACGCTACCTTGAAGGGCAAAAAAGACGTTAGTGATGCACTTTACTTTGAGTTTGTTACTTTTGCGTTGCGCTTTCAGATCAACTAATCGAGGAGGAGACAAGCCTGTGCTGTGTTAGGTGAGGAATTCCCCACAAGGTAAACGTAAACATTACGGCAGTCGAGCAGAAGCAGGGACCTGGCAGTTTTTAATGGTAGAAATGCGGCAGCAGGTGCTGTAACATTATATGGATCGGAAGTGCCCAACACTTGCATTTTGTGTTCATATCTTTCTTTTTCTGAAGTTGAAAGGTGATCCAAATAAAATCTGACTGCTTTTGCAGCGTCTCTGCGGGGAGTCGCGGTGTGAGCCGCTATTTTGGTCTGTTGTTTTGCCCTGCAGGTCACCGCGCATGTCACGTGACTGAAATCTATAAATTGGCACTACTGCTTTAACAAACATACTGTCTGGCCTCACCCACTTGCAACCCTAATAACACTGCACTGAGAGTGGATAAGCTAAACAGGCCAATCAATGGTTATTCCTCATGGTATTTAGCAAGACATTAACAACTGCAGCCACTCATCTAACCACCAACTGAACATAAAATTACATCCTTGTCTTAGGTTGTAATATTGTGGTTCAAAAAGACCAATGTCAGCAGGTATCCATATTGGTGACATACTGCACTTGATTGAATATTATGACAAAAGGAACTAAATAGCTGACTAAACTAATTCATTTTTGATGATATGTGTCTAACATTTAATTTCAAACATTTTAAGTCTGCAAAATATGAAAGTTTAAATAAAAACAGTTTAAATACACTCTACATTTGCACATTGACCAACAGCATGAGGTGACAAAATCACTGAGCTGAGCTCAGCACATTGTTTTCGAACCAGCCCAGTATGTGATTTATTTATACCAAACAACATGACAGCTATGTTTGTTTTCCCAACATAGCAGACACCAGAATTATTATTGTCTCACGGAATGACCTCCTAGATCCATATCAGTCTGGTTTTAAGAGTGCCCACTCTACTGAAACGGCTTTTTGTCTGTAACAGAAGCCCTAAGGTCAGCTAAAGCTGCAGCCCAATCCTCGGTTCTTATCCTGCTTGACCTATCAGCTGCCTTTGACACAGTCAACCACAGGATCCTGCTATCTACTCTCTCAGCAATGGGCATCTCAAGTAAAGCACTCCTGTGGTTCGAATCCTACCTCTCGGGGCGTTCCTACGATGTTTTGTGGCAAGGACAATTATCCTCCTCCCACTGCCTCTCCACAGGGGGGGGCCCCAAGGCTCAGTGCTAGGGCCCCTTCTCTTCTCAATTTACACCACCTCACTGGGCCGATCATTTGCTCTCACGGCTTCTCTTACCACTGCTATGCACCACTACTGCTTACAATGATACGCAACTCTACCTATCCTTCCCGCCAGACGACCCCACCGTCTCGGCGCGGATCACGGACTGTCTCTCGGACATATCTGCATGGATGAAGGCTTGCCACCTTCAACTAAACCTCTCTAAGACTGAACTCTTGGTCATTCCAGCCAAGCAATCTATCCACCATAACATCAAATTACAAACTATCTCCTCAACCATCACTCCAACCAGGTTGGTGAGAAACTTGGGTGTCATGATTGATGACCAGCTGTCCTTTACAGAGCATGTTGCTTCTGTCTCTCGGTCATGCCGCTTTGCTCTATACAACATAAGGAATATCAGGCCCTACCTCACTCAGTACGCCACCCAGCTTCTGGTACAGGCCATGGTTATCTCTCGCCTCGACTACTGCAATGCCCTCCTAGCAGGTCTTCCAGCTTGTGCGGTGAAACCCTTACTAATGGTTCAGAATGCAGCAGCACGTTTGGTTTTTGATCAGCCCAAAAGCACTCATGTCACTCCATTACTCAGTGACCTCCACTGGCTCCCCGTGGCCTCCAGAATCAGATTCAAGTCACTAATGCTTGCATACAAAGTGACTACTGGGTCTGCACCCATCTACCTAAACTCCGTAATACAAATTTACATTCCTTCTCGGCCACTACGCTCCTCCTATGAACGCCGTCTGGCTCTGCCATCCCTTTACACAAAGCAATCCCAGTCCCGGCTGTTCTCATCTGTGACACCACGATGGTGGAACGAGCTACCACACGCCATCAGAGCAGGGGCGTCCCTCTCTAACTTCAAGAAGCTCTTGAAAACTCATCTCTTCCGAGAACACTTCCTCTTATAACACCTCTAACTCCTAACCTCTAACATGAACTCCCTGTGCTCTTCTTCTTCTTCTATCCCCTTACAATTATCTTGTATTGATTGCACTTTTTTTGTTAACTCTTACTTCCTTCCCTAGGTATTTACCCCATTGATGTGATATGAACTATGAGCTCTTACTAGTATTTATTGCTGCTCTTACTAGTATGTATTGTCAGTTGTAGATCAGTATTTGATGCTCTGTTGATGCTTGTATGTTGTTCCTCAAATAAATAAAAATTCTTCCTTCTAAATAAAAAACAATCAATCAATCAATCAATCAATCAATCAATCAAATGTTAGTCGCTTTGGATAAAAGCATCTGCCAAATGAGTAAATGTAATGTAAATGTAATATTTGGGCAAATGTGGAAAATCAACAGTATCTCAATTGTTAAAAGAACACATTGCCATTGTAATTTAGGCTGGTTGTCTAATGTTTAGCACCAGCTGTAACACTAGTATGAAGATCCAAGACAAGATGTCAGTGATAGGCACCAGTCTTTCAATTGTTTTTGGAACTACTCACTGTGTTGCTTGTTGTGGTCCCAACGTTGAGGTTTTTGAAGAGTTGTGGGGAGCCTCCATACTGGCCAGCTATCTGCTTCCTGACCTCTGCTGCCACAGTCCTGCAAACAGAGGATAGATAGTTGGAGGGAGGAAGAGGTAGAGTGAGTGAATACAGTCCATTTTAAAAGTATGTGTAATCATCCACAAATTACACAGAGTTGTCTTGTCTCAGAATCACAGGCAAAGTAATAGGGTTGTTCCGATTGGCTCGCTTATCGGCGATTGAAGAGATGATCAGCGATTTGTTTTCCATGTGCCGATATTAAGGCGATTTTAACAACCCCACTATCAAAACTTTTATTATATATATATATATATATATATATATATAATAAAACAGTCTATCTGCACCACACTGCAGTGTTTCCCATTTGTTGATTTATTTGTTGCAACATGACACGCCACAACATCAATGCTGACCGCCACATACTATATACTATTTAATGAGTAAAATCATTTCATTGTGGAGCTGCGCACAGCGCATAGATTCACTCAGTGCCTCCGCTTGCTCGTTCACTCGCTCCCTCAGCTAATCTATTTTCTTAACACAACACTGTCAATGTCGGAGACAGTGTTAACGTTAGAATACAGCTGGGTTGTCAATTTTGACACGCCGTACATAGCTGCACCTTCCTTCTACCCGCCACACGTGCGCGGCGTCACTGTTACACGGTAATAATGTGGGAAACACTCGGAAACACTGTACTGTGCATTTACAAATGTTTCTAGTGGTTTCTCTTAAAACTAATAAGCCTGTTTCTTCCATGCTGGCATTCCACTGACTTGTTGCAACGTAACACCGCCCCCTGGCGATCAGATCACCAATCAGTGATCTCCTGTAGATATGATAACAGAGATGATCGCCCAACCCTAGAAAGTAACAATATATACTTAACATTTTAGTGATGGGACTAGGATACAGGTGATTCTGCAATACACAATACTCAAATACATTGAGCTATGATACTTTATGATCAATACTGCAAGGTAATCTTGTATGACACCTGTATAATACCTTTGTAAGTGAGGAAAATATTCCCCTTAAATGGCCAAATTAAGCAACATGATCTATTCTCATGCAATCTAATGGTAAGGTGAATACCACATAGCTGCCATGTCCAAGGTTCAATTCCAGCCAGGCATTTTATACCCCTCAGGTTTTCCTAACAAAGTTTAATGAAATACTTTAAGCCCAAAAATTAGTGATGTATAACCTTTTAGCTGTGAATTAAATACAAAACAATAAATTGCAATATTCATTTTAGTATCAGTCCCTCAGAACACAAGGAATTGCAATGTTATCAAAAAATGTCTTAGTTTTGTGCAGTAATGATTGACATTGTGACATGAGTGAGTCTTACTGCTATTCAACTAAAATAAAATCAAATATTAGCAGCCCTCACATATACACATACAGCTGGATTTTGCAAATGTCCACTTAAGTGTTAAGCTGTCAAACGTTAGGCTGACTAACACTGAGGATTACACTTCCTGTCCTTTCAGGATTTTCTCTTTGTGCTCATGGAGACTCAGACAGTGGCATATATTACACCCTGACAGAGAGGAAAGAAATAAAAACCTCTGGACCCCAGTGGTCAGCACAAAGCTTGTGGTGTTCAACCACTACTGTTGCCACACACATACACAGGTCCTTTAAATCACAGCAACCACCAAAACCACTCAGAGACCTTTGCCTCGAACAAAATAACAACGCAGCAAGCAGCCCAAAGTGACACAAACGAATGACAACTTAGAACCAAGGATAAAGACTCTGAAGACTCAAGGTTATGTTACACATGTAACACAGAAGCTATAAGGACACTTTCTTCTTTACCAACAAACTGTCCCATTTTCCTTTCTCTCTATGCTCTCCACCCTGAAAGCAATATCATTATTAACTAATCAGTTACTTTACCTTTAAATTCTTAGCCATGATTACAGTAATGATGAGCAAGGAATAGGTATGATCCAGTCAGCGAGGTCACAAAACTACAAACATCTAAACCAAGTCTGGTTTCCTCAAAGCCACTAAAGTGCAGAGTTCATCACTGTTCCATCATATAAAATACTGTGTGTAAACAGAAATGAACCTGAAGCCTAAAAGGAAGATAAAATGAAAGCTGCATGGCCCAACTGCCAGCGTAACATAACATGATAATGTACAACAGTAAAGATCCAGTGGCCAGTGTCACCACTGGAGAAAGGCAGAAGCACTGAACCGATATACACATTCCACAGTCCTCCCCAATGCCTCTTTCTAGACCTTGGCTTAGCACTGGTCACTGCACAGAGGAATAACATGATAAAATAAACAGCATGTGGCTATTTCATCAAGATGATAACAATAATAACTCCCAGGAACAAAATATAAAGTGGTCGCAATTGAAGATCTTAATATAGGCAAACTATTCAACTAAGACACGTGATTTAAACTTCTAAGCAAGGCCACTGGGAATTTTAGTATCAAAATTTGCCTCAACATGTGACAAAAGTTAACTTGCTTTCATTACTAAAAGTCAGCATGCTTAAACAAGTACAATGGAGGTGCCTTTTTTCACAGCAAAATAAATAACGTGAGCAAGGTAAACAGTGTCCACTAGCTATTTTATTTAATCTTGATTTATTCAGGTAAGATTCACTGAGATGCAAACTGCCCACATTCATAAAGTGGATACAATATCATAAAGACTTGCACAATATAATGCGATCTGATACAATAGACAAGCATGAATGTGCCCTTTGTAAAGGTTATAATGTTTGTTAAGAAAAATAAATTGAGAAAGTTATTTTTTGATTGGAATACTAGGCCATAGTTTATTATAATGTCGTAATATGTGGCATTACATTGTAAGGTATGTGTTGTTAGCTGACCATCTTATCAGGCATCTCTGCCTCACTCTGTGGGTGAATAACCTGCCATGGGGAGGGTGTGTCCATTCCATCCATCCATCAGTATGAAATCCTAGTGCTTGGATGTGATTTTGATGAATGGGAATTGGATTATATACTACAATAAAAACTCGTACTCCTCCAGTCCTGACACCAACAAAGAAATGGAGATTCTGCATGATTATAGCTGCTACAACTTCAGAGTCCAGCCTATAATGGTTGTGTTGGCCTATAGCTAAATGAACTGGGCTCAACAGCAATTTCTAACAAGTAAAAACACTGGACAAAATGCATGGCCTTTTCTAATAACCTAGTTTTTCCAAACAGAAAATGAAAACAAAAGTGACAGCACATGCTCCTCCTTTCCAAAAACCTCAGATCATCATAACCTTTCCGAAAGGGTGTAAAATCTCATTTCATCAAGTAAAGACATCTGACAGTGATTCAAATACAGTTGTTTTTGGCTCAGTAACAACAACAATGACTTAACTGTGTATTAACTGATCAGCAATGACAGTTATTAAAACATGTTTATAGCTGTGGGAGACAATATTTCATCTCTACCTGATCTAACGTTATCTATCGCCTGGGATGAAGGTTATTGACAGCTAGCACAAAGCCCTTTGTTAAAGAGATTACTTTAATCTGTCTGAGGGGCGGGGAAGAGATTATAACATCGACATTTGATAGCTGTGGATGAAGGCTTTTGGTCACAGTCTTACTGTAATACAACGATATGTCTCTTTTCAACGGGTTCTTGTTTAAAACATAACTCTACAAAGTTCAGTCACATCTCCACCAGAGCCAGTAGCTGCCCATCGTTAGCTAACTACTGTAGGCAAGATGGCTAGCTAACTGTCCAAAATTAACGGTTTTCATTTAACAGTAAGTCCATTTCGGTTACTGAAAACCTAACTCCTATTTTGCTTGGACACATTTATTACAACAATAGTGCATCTTGCTCCTTTGTTAGCATTCAGTAGTAGGTAGAAGAGACCAGCCGCTAGCTGTGTCGCTGTCTGTTTGGGTGGGTCTAATCATCTCTGCCGATTTGGCTAACAAGCGGCTAGCTTGGAGCAGCCAGGCCGTTCTGGTGGCTGGGCCTCCTTCACAGGGTTCCCTCGGCAGTGGTCTGAGGGCGACCTATATAAAACCGACAAAGTGCTCGGTGTGTCTTTTACGAGCTCGTTTCTAGGTCTCAAGTCGTTACCTGCTGATTTTTTGGGCGAAGGCGCGGCGTTCAGCCATGGCAGTGGCCGCTGACGTGCTTAAACGAAATTCCCAGGCAGGCAGGCAGATTCAGCTTTCCACTCACTCACTACGGCCACAGGGAAAACGGGAAAACGAGAGAATGGGATCATTACCGTAATGACCATATTGGTGTGCAACAGAACACACCCAATGAAAAGCCCCTGCACGCTGTACTGTGAGGAATAAAGCTTGGACATTGAACAGCTGGACAGATTTATTTAAATATTTTACATAATATTCACCAATATAAATGTAATTTATCAAAATGCATTGGTACTGAAACATTTTTGCAAAGGAAGGAATATGTGTTTTCATTCTTCACTTACTCCCTGATTATTTATCTTTGAAATCTGGCCAACTTAAACATTCATTGCAAGACAGCAATTCCAATACTTTGATTGAAATTTGTTGTTGTTTTTTAAACCTTATGATTTTACCTGGAAGATTATACATACACAAGACCAGATATGAATGACATTTTATAATTTTAAACAATGCACATTAAACTATATAAAGGATAACGTCCAAGTTTGAATATTTGTTATAAGGTAAGACAGAACTTTATTTAATCTGAGGCAAATAGTTGTGCAGCAGTAGGAAAGTAGGAAAGAGAGCAAATAAAAGCAAAATACAAGACATTCTGACAAATAATTTACTCCTGCTTCCTTTGCACTTTGCTCCTTGCACTATGTGTCACTCTTGGTTTAGAGTGTGTATGCATGTGTTCTCTATACTGTAGCCTGTGTCTGATTTTATTATTGTATTATTGTATAAGTAAGCACATCGTGAGCAATGTACAATCCTGAGTCAAATTCCTCCTGGCAGTAAAGCTGATTCTGATATGAATCTTAAACAGTAAGGTACATATCTGATTCTTTTTACGTGTTACTTTTTAAGCATTTTCTCTCAGGCTTCTTCCATCTTTGGTATTCTGCAATGAAAATTAAGAGTTTCCTTGTGCAGTAATTACTTTAACAAAACCAACAAGACGATACAAAATCTGTAATCCACAAGCATGCTCATTATTGTGCATGCTTAGTTTAAGATGCAAAAACAAAAAAGGATGCTTAGTTTAAGCTTTATTTAAAAATGTAGTCTGATCGGATCGATGATGCCAGAATTTCATTCTCAAAAGAGGCTTGTGTACAGAAAAATACAGTGTAGGACTATACAAACACAGAAATTCACAGCAAACAAGCAAATAGACGTCGGCTCCATATTTTAAAATCAATTGCCAGCTGATAACATGAGAAATAAAGTAGCATGAAAAGTATAGGAAACAATCAAGTTAAAGAAACATCTGGCAAAATCCTGACACCGGTATAAAAAAAAAAAAAAAGGAAAGAAAGAAAGAAAAGGAAAAAAAAGAATCAAACTAAGTATGATGCGTGATGGAACCATGATGGGTTAGTCACAGATAAATAAAGAAACTTATTCTTAGATTACCATCAACATACCATTGTAAATGTAATAGCAGCAATGTAATCACGAAAATGAATTAGAAGTGATGCGCCCGTGGCTTTTTATCCGTCGCCCCGCCTTCGTACAACAACGCGCACGTTATGATACAAAAATATTAACACAAGTGGAAAATTCATTCAGGACAAGGTGAATAGTCGGAACGGGTCTAACACCGCCCGGTCGGGCTGTGGTCGGGCTACATCATTCAAACATTCGAGCCTTCGCGGACCTGCCCCCACTTCCTGGTCCCGGCGGAAACACCGTTAGATCACATGTCTTCACTTCCTCCGTGTAAACATTAGCGATCGGAGAAGAGTGTTAAGTTTCACAGCTAGTCATGGAAGACATCCAATGTGTTGAATTATCAGAGTAACACACTGTGACCTTGTAACTTTTGTACGGAGCTACATAGTGGCCGTGAGGGGGGAAACAATGTAACGTTAGTGGTTGCATTCTGAAGTGGAGAAGTGGTACTGCTACAGTCAACTCTGTATGTGTGTTTACTCTGCACACCACGGTTTGGGGTTGTAGGCTGTGTGGGAATGGGTTCCATCCCTTCCTGGTTCAAATGGAGAATAAAGGGAGCGATGAGGTGGAAAAATTGAAGACAAAGTTCTTGTCAGCGTGGCATAATGTGAAGTACAGTAAGTAATTTGCTGAGACCCTTACACACAAACACCAGCCGTACAGGCTTAGTCCTCTCTATCCACTTGGTTTCTTTCCATGCATTACTGCTGTGCACAATCTTATTTTTGTGACAAAATTTGAATTTACCTTAATTGGAACTTGTAAAAGTGAAATGCAGAGAGCTTAACAATACAGTGTACTGCAGACACAAGATAATACACAAATAAAAACAAGCATCAGAGTTCAATGAGACAAGAGCCTAATGCTGTTGAGTCAGCCCTTAAAATAGTTCTTTGTCATACTGTACCATACATTGGTTTGTGTGTGACATTTTAGTTTTTCAGCTCACTAAGATTGAAGTTTCTGCTATGTTTCTTTTTATTTAGAAAACCAGTGTTTATTCACTGCCTTTTTATGTATCAGGAAGTGAAGAAAAACAGAATATTATAACAGGCAGGAATCTTGGAACCGCCCCAGAACATTGAACAATGGGTGTTTTAAAGTAGGTGTGCCAGTCAGCTGAGTAAGTAGGTCACCCCATAGTTTGTGTGTTTCTTTTTTAACCATCAATAAAACCAGAAAATATTGTCTTTTTATTGTGTATCTTAGGCTGGGCTCTAAAATCAAAGACCTCTTTCAGCAGAAATTCCCCAGTGCTTCTCCTCGGAAAATATTACCATTTTAAGGCTGAAGGTATGGTGTGCACACATATGCACAAACACAAAGGATAAAATTAAAATACACACTTAATCCTGTACCTTTAACACACTGTAATGAACTTCACATACATATGCACATATCTGACTTGACTTGAGATACAAGCTTTTTTTAGGGTTAAATCAATCAATCCATGTGTTTATTTGTGGATAATTCATCTATTTTTTGTATCATGTTTTGTGTTGTATGTATGTTTGTGACTCATAGTCAGTGTATTTGCAATGACACTGACATTAATGTACTCGCTACTTGTGCATTAGGTTAAAATCTGAAATAGAAATTCATAATGCTTGATTAACTTGAGCCAGAAAATTTGTCATCCCCGCAGACCACAAGATGAAAAAAGTTAACTGCAAATCTTGAGTGGATCACATGTCATTTGTTTGCCTCAGATATTGACAGTCCTACAGAATCCTGCGATGACGCCTCTGACGAGGACTTCATCATGGGGAATGTGGAAGCTTTCCGCAAGGATTTTGCATCCAGAGTGTGGCTCACCTACAGGGAGGAGTTCCCTCCACTGCCCGGCTCCACCCTGACCTCCGACTGTGGCTGGGGCTGCATGTTGAGAGCCGGGCAGATGATGCTGGCTCAGGCACTTATTCTGCACTTCTTGGGCAGAGGTGAGCGGAAGGATGGTACCGCACCTAAGTTACAGTGCAACCCTTGCAGTGATCTAACAAGATGTATTAAAAGTGTAGACAAAAAATGCCAACAGATTCTTCTCAGTTCAAAGTCACAGCTGGGGCTTGTAGCAGTTTAAAGCAGAGGTTCTCAAACATGGGGGTTGGGACCCACCAAGGATAAATCTGAGGGGTGATGAGTTGATCAATTGGGACAGGAGAGAATACAAAATCTTTTAGATCTTCTAAAGATGAGAGACTGGGGCTTGTAGTATATATCTACCTTCTTATTTAATATCCACAGTTGAAGTGCCTTTGACCAAGAGAGGAAACTGCTAGTATGGCAGGTATTTGGAGGGTGCTTGCACCCTGCAGTCCCAAGGTGTTCATTTATGGACCTACTGCATATGAATGTGGAGATGGGACATTGATATCATCAGCAAAAGTTTTCATTTTACAATAAAAATATCTAAATGGGACAATTTAACCAGCAGGTAAAAAAAATAGTAGCTGCATTTGATATGTGATGATGATATGTGTATGAACTGTAATTTAGACTCCAGGTCATTTTTGATTAGGTCTGATACTCATTTCATTTTGGAATGCACTGCAGCTGTGCCTCATTAAGTTTCTTTATTTACTTTTAGTTCAGTGTCTCTTTTGTAGCCACTTTTGACAGTTACCTCATTCTCAACCTGAAAGTGAACATTTAATTCAGTTGATGCAAGGCATTTAAAATGAGTGAATTCCTCATATCTTTGTCAGATCTATTGTCTCTGAAGTGTCCTGGACATTATGGGTCCACATAATGAGATGACTGCCAGTTTAATGCAGTCATTTAGAAAACAATATTTAAAACTTGTTCTTCTGTCAAATTTAAAATATGTCACTAATGAAATATTTCTCTATAAAATGACTAATGGCCACTTAAGGATATTTATTGATTAATTTCACTTTGATTCACTTTTGAATCAAGGTCATTTTCTTAATGCTTTAGACTCTGGCCCATTTTATAGCCTGGGCCACTCCCTTTTTCTCCACCTTCGGCTCCCACCCTGTTTGTAAGGCTAAGGCACGTTAAAGTGAAATACTGGGACGCTTAAACTTATAATTGAACAGAATGACACCTATTCTGTTTCTGAAGCGCACAAGGTTCTGTCTGTGTAAAGCAAAAACCTTAAATTTCATAAGTTCTGAAAGACTTTTTGTTCTCAGTGGTGATGCTCTAAATGGATCTTTGATGTGTTGAATAATCGGGTTCAGAGATCCTCATAGATACCTGGTCATTTCATAATTTTCCATAACTGATATCAGGTTTAGAAAACATGTAGGCTTTTCTGGCACTACAAGTAAGATCTTGATGTTATGCATGAATTGTTTATCTATGGTTTTGTCATTAACATTTGAGCCTATCCTATCATATCCCTAAAATTTCCTTCAATATTTTAAATCAAATCTCATCTCTAAAGCTGATGATACACGGGGCAATATTGCTGGTGGCAAGTCTGACTATGTTTTGAACAGATAGTGGCGGTGCGGGGAGGATGGCAGAGTGGCGGGAGAAGGCGATTACGGTAGTAATCTTTACTCATTACCATTGACAGCAACATTGCCCAGCACCATTGCTCTAAAAGTTGCTCCGTGTATCATCAGCTTAAGTATTGAGTTTTGTCAAAGGTGTTTTTGAGAAAGTGGCATCCACTTACGCCTAAAAAAATGTACTATTCTAAATTGGGATTATAAGTATGTATTAATCTCACTAATCTCAATCACTTACAAATATTTCAATAATATGATTTTCAATTAATTATGCCAAGAAACATGTAAAGTAATCCTATGAAATTTTTATCCACAGAAATATAGGATCAGTGGTTTACAAAATATGTTTCTAAGGTCTAATAACATTTGTATCCATAGGCAACTTTTTAAAAAAAAATGTTTTTCTCTAATGTTGATTGTAACTGAGGTTTTATACATGATTGATTCCTCCACAGACTGGACCTGGTCAAAGGCACTGACGCTCCAGCCTTTGGACACAGAGACGTGGACAACATCTGCAGCCAAGCGTCTGGTGGCCTCTCTGGAGGCTTCTCTGCAAGGTTCCCCCAGGCCCTCGAATCATGGATCACCACCCATGTACCAAGCCCAGGGCCAGGGATCTGCAGAGGAGGCAGATGCACATTGGAAAGAGATGTACCACCGTACTCTGGTATCCTGGTTTGGGGACAGTCCTTCGGCTCAGTTAGGCCTCCACAGGCTGGTACGCTTGGGCCTGGCAATGGGGAAACAGGCAGGGGACTGGTATGGGCCTGCTGTGGTAGCACACATCTTCAAGTAAGTCTAAAAAGTTTGATTTAAGAGGATACACATATCCACATGCACCTTCTGGCTTTGATCACAGAATTATTTATTATTCTTAAGGGCAAAGCAATCACAATTATTTTTGTTAAGTGATTAATCTATAGCAATCATATTAATTGGATCTATCATTTAGTATATACAATTAAAATTTAAAAAGTTGTGAATTTTACCGTGGTATTAAATGAAGAAAGCAAACTTTTCTATTCAAGAGGGTGTAACCAACAAATCATGTCATTTTTATTAGATAAATTACCTAAATAGTCAGTCGGTATAACCAAATTGTCATTATTTTCTGTATAACAACTAATCAATGAATCATTTTAGCACTATTAATGCTAATGTGCCATTATTTCATGCAGAAGTTTGGGGTATGAAATTAAATTTCAAATAAAGATGGAAGAATTTTATGACATGCTTGAAGTAAAAAAAAAAAAAGCTCTATGTACTGATATTACTAAGAACCAGCAGGATTGTCATGTTAAACTGTGCATGTTGTGAAGTGACTGTATAATTATTACACTTATTAGAAAGCCTAGGCATAGCTGTCCTGTGGGGGGCCAATGTATTGTGTGTTTGTGTGTGTGTGTGTGTGTGTGTGTGTGTGTGTGTGTGTGTACAATATATTAAATAACTCAAGTTGTATAAATATAATAATGCATATGAACTACCAACCACATCGGACATTGCTACCAGCCTCTTTATCAGCCTAGTAATGTTTCCATGTCCGTGTGTTATTATTTGATAAGATGCTCATACATTTCCAGCATCTCACTCATTCAGATATACTGTTGTAAAAATATCTTTTAACAGATATACTCATCTGACTCATTATGTTTTTTAAAACTAAACTGCAATATACATTATATAGCCCTGATGCTTACATAGGATATACTCTGCATGTAAACCTTTGAAAACCGTCACTCTCTCTGTGTTCTCTCTCTCTGTCTCTCTCTTAGGAAAGCTGTCGAGGAAGCGATGGACCCTGGCTTGGCGGGTATAACTGCGTATGTCTCCCAGGACTGCACAGGTATGAAAGATGAGCCTGCTGTTGATAAAACAGGATACTGGGCATGGCGCCCAAACTGACCCTTCTTTTTCCACCGTCTCTCTGCTGCTGGAAGACTATGGAGCTGCTTAGAAGGGTGACAGGAACCTCACTCCCCAACAAACACATCCACTACAAAAATCTATAACGTCCCACTCCAACCTCTTCTTAACCCCACTAACTTGGGTTTTGATTAATGTTTGTCTTCTCAATAGCCAGAGCAGAAGATAGCTCAAGCAAGTGTCTTGGTGTGTTATGAGTTTGATGTCAGAAAGTCACAGAGAGACAGTGGGAGTGAATTGAACTTGTGCACCATGACTGTCTGTACATAATGGAATTTAGGCCTCAGACAGTTATTGGATTAATGAAATATGATTTAGAATATAACATTTATCGTCAACAGTTTTGACAGTCAATTATTAATCTTGTATGTCCATGAAGATCTACATGATGCGAAACATTTATTGTTTTCTGCTTCTGAAAATGTAAGGAATTGCTGATTTTATAAATAAATTGAATCTGTTTGGGTTTTGGATCGGTTGGCTGGACATAAGAAGCAGTTTGGAGAAGTAACATTGGGCTCCAAGAAATTGTGACTTTTGGGACATTTCACTGTGTTTTGACATACTAGCCATTAAATGATTAATTGTTAATGTAACTGATAATTGTTAGTTGCAGGTAGCCATGAATATATTAAACCAAAAAGACTCACAAGTCAGACAAAGCATATTTGAAAAAAAAAAATGGATAAAATATGAATATTTTGGACAATTTGAAGAAGAACTTTGCATCTTTGGCAAACACATAACTGTAAAAACATAGCCCATATACTGCAAAAAACAGGAATGGCTACAAAAAGACAAGATTGAGAGCCTGATAAATAGACAGGATGGCTGATAGATTGACATACAGGGCAGACATGGAGGCAGACAAATGACCTTTGTTTTATTGATCCTCCATAGTGTACAGTGCTGATGTCATCGATAGCCATAGGGCACCAAGAGCAGGGCAGGCCTCTGGTGAGAGGTCAAATGCCCCTCCTTCCCTACAGAATGACCAACCAGTGTCAGCCTCCACCCCGTCAGATAGCCAAGCTGTCATCATCCTCATCCCTGTGCGCCTGGGAGGGGAGAAGACAAACCCTGAGTATTTTAACTTTGCAAAGGTGAGAGATACATGTGGATCAGTTTTAAACTCTTTTTAATATAATTTGATCATTTGGTGTTTGATCACAACATTTACACATATACACTCATAGCGGTAAAAGTTATTATCATACCATAAATAGGAAGTGGTCACTGTGGGGAATGGTGAGTTGAAAATATCTGTTTTACTGTAATATAGTATGTGGGAAACAAAATGAAAATATTTAGGTTCCCAGCCAGATGTACTTTGTATTTCTCTCTCCCTTTCTCTGAATTTAGAGCATATTGAGTCTGGAGTACTGCATAGGCATCATCGGAGGGAAACCCAAACAGGCCTGCTACTTTGTAGGATTTCAAGGTTAGTGTTAGCATAATGCAAAACAGAGAAAGACACACAGAGAGGTTGGTGTGAATAGCAGATTATTTTGCATAATATACCCTTCTTATGTGAAGAGACAAAGTAAGTTAATGTATTCCTGTTTGCGTGAGGAAAACGTAGAGGAGTGGAGAGGGAAGCAAGTGAAGCAACGCTTACTTTATTCTCTCTGACCCATCAAAGCCTCACCCATTTATCACAAGTAAACCTCCCAAGTTGTGAGCTGTAATTGATTTCCATAGGAGGCATGCATTAAATTTCATCCAGGCCCCAAAGTGAGCCACTCTTCATCACCTTCAGGAGCCAGGAGGAACCTTCAGTTGTACATCTTGGCAGTCAATATTTACGCATTTACATTTTACCAATTTGAAATACAGTGGTGGATGATGTCTAAATGACAAGCAATACATTTTCCCTGCCAAGGCGCAGCTCAGCGCAGCATTTATCTTATGCAAATGGTCGAATATAATTGCGTGTTTGTAAAAGTAATTCCCCCACACAAAAATTAAATGACAACCTCTTTTTTGTGGGTGTAAAGAATGTGCTTGTACAAACGCATCTGATTATGCAGAATTTAATCCACCCTGGTGGATATTAAAAAGAAACAACCTTCTGGGAGGCATATTTGACGCACACAAGCCTAACAGTAGGCCAAGCGGGTGACTTTGAGCTACTCTGCATAGAAATTGGAGAGAAGTGCGTTTTTGTAATAATCCGATGTTTTTGAATAACTTGTCTTTTGTTTTGTCCTTGCAGATGACAGCTTGATTTACATGGACCCTCATTACTGTCAGTCTTTTGTGGATGTCAGCACAAGCGATTTCCCTCTCCAGGTAATGTGAAATTACACAGACGAGCTGACTGGGTCCCCAGTAATGTGAATTTAATAGTTTCTGTTAGTACTTAAGGGTATGAATCTTAAAGCAGCCCTCGGCCCAATTACAGAGTCCCTATCTGCTGATTTATTTGCTGCTCAGATGTGTGAAGCTGCCACTTAAGAGAAATACTGCAAATACTGGATCAGGTAGTGTGAGCCTGAATATTTCAGGACCCATACATAAAAATCAGCACCCAGTACTGTAGAGCAACTTTGTTTTATGCTTTTGCATGCAGTGTTATACAATGTGACAACACACCAGAGTTGTAAATTTATGGATGCTGTGACAGCAGATAAATAGGATTTCACTCATCAAATAATGCAGACTACATCTTATTCGCTGTTGACGCTGGCATGGAGTGTATGTATTCCCCCTCAGTTGTTGTACAATATTTGGCCCTTCAGCTAGATGAATATTTTCTAATGTTTTTGTTTAGTCATATCATTGCCCCTCACCAAAGAAGATGCCTTTCAGCAAGATGGACCCAAGCTGCACCATAGGTTTCTACTCTAGAAGTGTTGAAGACTATGAGAGAATCAGACAAGAGCTGTCTAAGGTAAGGAATAGTACTGCCTTAACACAGGACTCCTTAAAATCACTTCACCACTGCCAAAAGTTCACAGTTACTATTATCACAAAGGTTAATTCATTTTTGTACCCTGAAAAAATGTGTGATGAGGTTGACCAGTAGATTCACCACTAGGTGGCACCATTTGGCCATGAATCTGACAGAGTTCTTACTTTGCTTCTCAAACCAGTCAACATGTTGGCTAGATGGTGTAAACCAGTCTTCCCTCTTTAAACCTGTCACACTTCTGCTTAGAAGACTCTATAGAAATTATATTAAAATTAATATACTGTAATTTATCTGGTGGCAACACAAGAAAGAACATAAGATGGCCCTCATTAGGTTAAGTGATGAAATTCAAAGCAAACTGTTGTGAAATATATAGTATGGTGTAACACTAGCACTCCTCTGATCTGTTGTTTTTCCAGGTGCTGCAGCCATCGGCGAAGGAGAAATACCCCGCGTTCACTTTTGTGCAAGGTCATGGCAGAGATTACGACCTGTCGGCCAGCCTGACCCCAGAGAAGAGAGAATGGCCCTTCATCCGTGACCCGCGGAGGACGGTCACCACTGCTGGCGACTTTGTGCTGCTTTGACAGAGCTGTTTAAAAGACTACTGAAGGGGAACTTCTTCTTTTAATGAATGAAACTTCTTGATACCCAAAGCCTTGTGTCTGAGCCTGTTGTGACACTGAAGGTTGTGTAACTTTTTTTAACTCTAGTAATTCAGTTTGTGCGTCCTGGAAACTTCACTGTTGCAGAGCAATTCTTGCCAAAGCTATTACTAACTGGTATTTGTTGCCTGGCAATGTAAGCTTGCTGAACATTTTGTCAGTAAGCCTTGGGACATTGTTTTGGTGCTCTCCTTAATTTAGTGACATTTTTAGATACTCATCTAGAGAAGAGGAATATCTAGGGGAACACTTCATTTTACACCGTTATTTGTAATTTTATGGACTTAAGACAAACTGTTGATAGCGCCTATATCAACACATCAGATTTTTGGAGATTTCAAGGCTAACAGTGTCATAAAACAGTAACAGTAACTATGACTTAAATCAATGTTGGCCCACTTGAAAATCTTTTCACAGGGCTACACCTACAGTATTTAGTGTTTTCTGAAGTCTGTTTTGTATTAGGCTATGAGTAGTATTGTAAAAGCATTAATTAATATAAGCTAAGGGCTCTCTGAAGATCATTTCCAAACTTCTCTGCCAAAAACATTTAATCAAACAAGATTAATTCTTCACCCATCTGAAACACCTCAACAACAGAAGCAACAGAGACACATGCTTTAAAAACACATGTTGTGTGATGATATGACTATATGCTTGCAATAATGTGTTTCTGAGTGGTATTAATTTTGACTGGGTTATGCATCAAAGTGCAAGTGACCAGTTGTGACAGGAGATTGTCAAAGGGATAACATCAGCTATATCTCACTACGCGCTGTATGTTATACATTATTACTCAATTTACAATAGTATTCTTTAGATGTAAAAGTGTATACTACATATGTCTAACAAACATTTAGAGTCTTAAGTTAGATTCAGGGAATTGATATATTTAGTATAAAATAGTTGAATTTATTTGAAGTAGCAAACTACACAACCATAAAGAAATCAGAGGGATATTATTTCAAAGCATTCTTTCATACAAAATGGATTTTCTTTAACATTTTACATTTCATGTTATGTTTCTTACTATATTTCCTACTTTTGAATTTTTCTCCAGTAGTGAGTGACTAAATGATTTATTGGCATTCTTGAGATTCACTTTTATAGTTACTACACCTTAAACTAAAAGTGAACACGTATGCTAGAACACATTTTAGGCTACTGAACTTGATAACGCACTTTGAAATTCAAAACACTGAATTATTCTGAATTTTTTGTATGTGCTTTCCTGCATTACAACACTTGCATGGCTGTTTGCATAAATTAACTTATAGTGTATCTGAAAAATATTTTTAACACTGCCAGAAAAAAAGGAATAAAGTCCAAATATTTGACATCGGTTTGCTTCTTTTGGGTCCAATTGAAGAATTTGAAAAAAATTATTTGCTTCATTTTCAGTGCTAGATACAAACCTCAGTGGTGTGTTGAAATGTATTCAATCCCTTTCTCTCCCAGTCAAATGTAGTAGATTAAAACTAATCGTACGTGCTAACCATCTCTACAGCCCATTAACCAGGGACCGGAAAAAATGTGACCCAGTGACACTGGCGGCAACTGT